AAGAGAGAAGAGACGTCCTGAGAGCCTGGGACAGCTCTTAATGGCCTCACCTTTCTTGCCGAGTCTACAGAGGCCTTTTTAGAGCAGCTACAACAGGAGGCTGCTGGCAGGGCATATAGCAATTTCTCACTCTGTCCCAGTGACAATTTGAGGAGACCAATTCAATAAAACATCATTTGCCAATTACTGCGGTTTCCTAGGAGTCTCTTTGGGCAAGGTGTGAATTGCGGGAAGAAGCCCTGACCCCAAGCCCGCTGTCTCCAGCCCTGTTCTGAGTGGATGCAGACAGAAGCAGGATGGTGATGGGGAAGAGGGGCAGACAGAGGATCAAAGCACAGTACAACCCCCGGGACCCAGCAGGGACAGGCCCGCCACGCGCTCATTACATGTGTGTGCAGGTATGTGATTTATGCACATAAACAACAACAACAACAACAACAACAACAACAACACACACACACACACACACACACAGGTAAAAGTAGAAACCAAGAGAGAGCATGCCCACTTTGTTTACACAATGAGCTTAGTATATAGTTAACACGTGCTGGACATATAAATGAGGAAGGGTAAAGGAAGGAGGATTCCTAATAAGTCACGTTTGCCCTTTAGACCGAGGCAACTCTCTGTTGATTTCTCAATGTCTTCCAGTGTGTCAGACCAGGGAAATGGTGTCATATTAAAGAACGGCACCGAATGAGCACTGTTTGGTGTATGGAGGCGTTCATGTGCTCAGTGACAGGTGTGGAGCTGTCTCTCAAGAATGATTCTCCATTCCCCTTATGACCAGCACTGTAGAGTAATGTCCCAGGATGCAACCTGCCTCTCATGGCTGTGCTCAGCTTCAGATTCCTTGTCTGGGAGAATGTCATAGCTCTAGTTAAAGGCTATAGTGAATGTAGTGATGTATTGTGTACCCCAATAAACTTGCCTGGGGATCAGAGGACAAAGCCAGCCACTAGATTAGACATAGAGGTCAGGCCATGGTGGCACACACCCTTAATCCCATCACTAGGGAGGCAGAGATCCGTCTGGATCTTTGTGAGTTCAAAGCCACACTGGAAACAGAGCTAGGCAGTGGTGGCACACACTTTTAATCCCAGTACTGGGAAGCACACACACCTTTAATCACAGGAAGTGATGTCTGGGCAGAGAAACGTATATAAGGCATGAGGAAACAGGAGCTCACTCTTTAGGCTGGGGATTTTGTAGAGGTAAGAACTAGTGGCTGGCTGCTCTGCTTCTCTGATCTTTCAGCTTTCACCCTGATATCTGGCTCTGTTTATTATTATTATTATTATTATTATTATTATTATTATTATTATTATTATAAGACCATCTTAGATTCAAACAACAGAGGCTATTACTTTTTCTTTTGAGAAAGGATCTTGCTTTGTAGCTTGGGCTAGCCTGGACTCATTATGTAGATCAGGCTGGCCTCCAATTTGCAGTGATCCTCCTTCTTCTGTCTCATGAGTATTGGGATTACAGATGTGTGGTAACTGGTTAAAAGCCTGATTTGTGTTGAAATTAAATAATTCTAGTGCAGATGGAAGAAACAAAAGTAAAAAATCTATTAGAAGGGTGTAGGTTATAAATATTGATTTATTCTCAAGACTAGGAAAATGTATCTAAATACGTTAAAAGTAAAGGCTAAACACGACCTAATCATAGATGAAGATGGATGATGTAAAACAAAGCAAACCAGGAAAGAAACCAGATGTATGGCTGCTCACCTGTCAGCTCAGAACTTAGAAGGCAGAAGTGGAAGGGTCAGGAGCTCAACACCATCTTTGGCTGCACTGGAAGCTTGAGGCCAGCCTGCTCTCTCTCTCTCTCTCTCTCTCTCTCTCTCTCTCTCTCTCTCTCTGTGTGTGTGTGTGTGTGTGTGTGTGTGTGAGGAGGAAGAGGAACAACGAAATCCAAAAGGAAAATAACCAAAGGAAAACAGAAAGGGGAATAAAGACAGCCCTGCCATTCCAGTGACAGGAATGAGATGAACCCACAGAAAAAAAAGAAAAGAAAGAGAAGAAAATAATGGAAGAGACACATGATCACAGTAAGGGCCCGTGACATGAAAATCCTCAAAAAGGGGACGGGGGGGGGGCTTTCAGATTAGGTTTCAAACTAAAGATGCACAGATGCCTTCTAAAAGAGAAGTGCTCTAACACAGACCTGAAGAGGCTGGGACAGTGAGGTTCGGGAGCAGAGGGTAAAGAGGCAGTTAAGCAGAGGAAGAAATCTGAATTGTCTATGAATCTGAAAACATAGCCAACCCTACCAAGGGTAAGAGGGAGTAACAGTGAGACTCGGTTTTCCACCTATAGCAAGATGGGCGGGAAGTGTAACATTTGGGGATAGCCGGGGTTTGCAGGGATGTGGGGAATCTGGGAAGTGGGTTCTGCTGATGACATCAGTTGGCTGAATTCTCCAAGGAATCCTGGGCAGGGATGCTTCAGGGATAGCCGAGGTGATATGGCTTCTAGATTTTTCTGCAGGGGCAGAAAGGTATGCAGATGATGAACTCTGTCAACAAGCCATGTCATTGTGAAGTAAAAGCATCCTGCCAGGCCTGGTGTCCACGTGTGTAATTTCAACACTCAGGGGTGCAGGAAGGAGTTCAAGAGGCTGGCCTAGGCATGTGAGAGCCTGTCTCGGGAATCCAAGACAGCAAAAGAGGGCTCTGATGCTCAGCTTGCTTCATCTCTCCAGCTGCCTTCCTGCTCCCCTATATGAAATGACAGTTTATGTAAAACACGTCACAGACTACTTAAAATCATCCTGATATATAACATTATCATTTTCATAATAATGAAATAATAATAATAATAATAATAATAATAAATATACTGACATGATCCTATAGAAGAACAGAAAAAAAAATACCTGTATAAAATTGGACAAAATCTGGTCACTGTTGCCTGAACGCCTCCATTCTGCCTTGAAACAATTAAAACCACTTTAAATTTAGGAGAAGCGCTTCAGCATCTTTGGCTCCAAGTACATGGTCAGCTTGTTTTCTTTATAGAAATGCAACAAGATGGTCCTGTGCTCGCCCACAGCTGTGCCTGTCTGAAGTGCTCACAGTCACTGGCCATTGCAGAGAGCCCACTTAGGAGGAGTCGAAGAAAGTGCTTTTAGCAGCTATGTCCCAAGCCCAGGCCACAGGCCTCAGTGTAGCTTGTCAACCCTGCAGTGGGAAGCAGGGACGCTGATTCAGGCCACACCATCTTCGTCTGCCTTTTACTGTCACAGCTGCTATTGTTGCTGAGGGTGACATCTGAACGGCCTTCCGTCACTGGGGAGGAAAGGGCTCCACAACGCAGAAATGACAGATTTCTCAGAGGGGATGAAGCTTTCTCTTTCTGTAAGATCCTGAGCATCATCATCAAAAGTCAGGCCTTCCAAAGAAAAACTCCAGGGCTGGAGAGACGGCTCAGTGGTTAAGATCACACATTGTTCTTGCAGAGGATCTGAGCACAGTTCCCAGCATCCATACAGGCAACCTGCAAGCACCTGTACTCCCACTCTAGGGGATGAGACATCCCTTATGGGTAAATCCACAATGGGTATTTAATGTTATCTTATTATGGCTTTAATATGTATTTTCCTAATAATTATATTTATTTAACATATTTAACATATACATTTGCTGGGATTTATTGTTGTAGGGTTTAAATATTTTTGAGACAGGGTCTCATGAAGCCCCAGTTGGATTCATCTCTCTATGTAGCTGAGGTGTAGCTAGAGTTTTCCTGCCTGGCCCATAGTCAGGACAAATCTTTCTCACCTGCCAGTCCCACAGCCACTCAGACCCAACCAAGTATACACAGAGACTTATATTGCTTACAAACTGTATGGCTGTGGCAGGCTTCTTGCTAACTGCTCTTATAGCCCAAATTAATCCATTTCCATAAATCTATACCTTG